GAGGCAGGCTGTGGCGGTACACGTGGCGGAGTTTCATGCGAAAGATGACGTAATGGTCGTGGTAGTATAGAATAACTGTTTGGACGTATGTTGTGTTAAGGCACCGATCGATTATGCTGCTTTTAAGGGGCTGAAGTTTGAACCTTCAAATGAATCAAAATTCTATTAATACCTATTAATACCTATACCTATAGGGTTCGTTTGGCACACCGTATTAAACTCTGGATAGGAGTAAATAGTCTATGTCAGGTGTTTAGTATCAACTTATATTATTTAATTACCTGACTATTTTATACGGGTTGGACTTTTAATACTCTCCTTACCTGACTAACTAATACAACCCACACAGATAATACACGCTTAATTATACGGCTAAGCACGTGTTCTACAAAAAAAAAATCAAACATTCTTTTCATCTTCTTCTCCCTGGGGTTCTTTTATGCTATCTTCTCCACAAGTTATTTTATTCACTCTTCTCTAGGTATCCATCTCTCACTCTCTCTCTCTCTTTCATACTCTCTCCAATATGTTTCTTCTTGCTTCTTCTCTATTATTTATATATTTCAATTTTTTTATTAAATTTTTGTGGAAATTAGATTATGTATTTTTTGTTTTTGAAATTAGGTTATGCTTACTTACATGAATGAAAGCTAAATCGTAAAAGTGATCAAATTCCATTGATATCAGAGATAGCAATGCTTTATCTTTTTGTGAATAGGCACTTGGAAAGTGATCAAATTCTATTGATATTTTTTCCCAAAGACTTTGACCCTTTTATTGATTCTATCTTCAATCTGCCCACCACCTTAAGGCATATGTCCCTTCCTCCTGTGATTTACCCAATCCAAAAAAAAAAAAAAAAAAACACGAAAAAAAAAAAAAATAAAAAAACAACAACTAGCCGAATGGTATTTTGTAGTCTTCTGTCATGTGTAGAATTCTATTTATTGTTGTATTATTCTAATTTTACATGTAGTCTTGTGTAATACATGATTATTTATATTGCTAAAATTAATGCATGGTTATTTATATTAATTTTACTGAAAAAATTTCCTTTATATTATGCCTAGATATGGATGAAGAAAGCAAGTGATGAGAGAACATTCCTGATCATTGGATGGTGCTATGCAAAAAGCATTTGTTCTTCTCTTACTTGGGGCGAGGGAGCTGTGATTCACTCTTTGATGTAGTTTGGTTTATGAACAACTTTCCCTTTTGCTTTTATCACCTTAGTATGTGATCACTTTGAATTATACATTATTTGGTACTGTTTTTATTAACGTATGGGGTAAGAAAATGACCAAAATACCCTTATCCCACGGGTAATTTCTCAATTCCACTTAAATTAATTACACATGGGATAAATTTGGGGTCGGGGTGTTACAAATCTTGTCATATGAATCTTACCAAAAAAAAAATTTGTGCCATTTAAATCTCAATTTCCATTAAAATTATCAAAGAATTTTTTTTATTTTAAAAATAGTATGATTTGATGTTGTTTGGAACATCACCAAACATAGTATAACTTAGTCATACTATTTATCCGGAACAGCACCAAACGCCTTATAATATTATGGATAAATAGTCAGTACTCTCCGGAATAGATTAATACTATCCGACAGAAATTAGTTAGTACAGTCCAACGTACCAAACGAGCCCCTAGTAAATTACCTTCCTGTACGCATGGACATGATAATTCGAATTTGAAATCTCTTCTAATACTGCAAAAATGAAAAATTATTTAATTTGCATGATCATGAATAAAATGACTTGAATGGTAAAAGTAAAAAAAAGAAACAAATCTTCTGTATATTATGTGCTAGCCCCTTGATAAATGCTCACGCATCTGCCAATTTTTGTTTTTGTTTTTTGTTTTTTTTTTAGAATTAAGAAAAGATAACATGGGTAGTTATGTTCCATAAAAGTATGACCTATTATCTGATTTTGTTTTTAATTTTAAATTTTTTTATATGAAAAAGTGTGAATTTACCATATTATCATTATTTAATTAATAATTTTAATTCTCAATGTTTGCATTAACCAATGGCATTTTTTTGTATTTTGAAGCAAAGGCAGAGATTGTTGAAACATTCAAAATACCAGAAAATGCCCTTGGTTAATGCAAGCATTAAGAATTGAAATTATTAATTAAATAAGGATAATATGGTAAATTCACACTTTTTCAAAATCAGATAATAAATCATACTTTTATGGAACACAACTACCTATAATTTTTTTTAAATCTAAAATAAATTTAAAAAATTTAAAAAAAAACTTCTCGCAAGCGCGGAAACACGCGCGGAAATGTTAGTAATGAATTATACAAAATAATTAGGGTATTCTGCTAAATTGCCCCCTGAACTTGTACATAATTCTCAATTTACCCCCTGACCTTTTTTTTAGCGAATTAAAGGCTCAAATCAAATTTTATTATCAATGTTCCCCCACCGTCAAAATTTGAACATTTCATCCATTCTTCCATCATTCAACGTGGATTGAATTACCAACCTCTCTCACACACTTTGCACATCGCTTTCAGATTGGTAAGGTAGGGTTAGAAAGGGACCGAATTGAGGGCAGGAAAAAGGACAAAATCAAAGGTTGGAATTGAGGGAATATGAAAGCTTTTTCAGAAAGGTTCTTCTGGCTCTGTGTGATTCGACGCAACATGAGTCTGGATGTGTTGCCTTTGCAGGTGCGGAACAGAGGGCCTCCTCCCAAGTGCAGTAAGTAATTGTTTTTCCCAATTGAAATTGTTTAAGCTTGTGTGGTCCTTGGTCTGTCGATTGTTTGTACATTTTGTGGTGTTGTCTGATATGCTTTTTTGAATATGAAATACTTGTGGTCCCGAAGCATTTGTGTTATTTTATCTGTATAATTGTCTGTGGACCTGAGTGAATTTGAAGTTTAGAATGGTAGTTGGGCAATAAAGAAAAGTTAGTGTGATAAAATAGTGGTTTTATATATCTTTTTTTTTTTTTTTCCTATGTGATCCAGATTTGTTCTCCTTAGAAATTCACCATGGAGGTTATATTTCAGAGGGAAGTATGTTCGGGGTAAGGTTACATGGGCAGACAACTGTAATGTTGACCACCTGTCAATGCTTGACCTGTTTCATCTTGCTATCTTTTTAGGATATGACCATCCAAAAATACAGTATCGCTACTGGAACAAAAGAAGGGGGTTTGTTCCAATTGAAGTAGATGCCCATGTAGTTGAGTTTGTGGAGCATATGCCTACCTCTAGAGTTTAACCTTTATATCTCTCATATAAGCGTCAACCACATTTCCCAGAGAGCTAGGCATCTGCATCTACTCCACAATTGTGGTTGGAAGTAGAAGTTGAAACTAAAACTAATGTTGGTGAGTTGGGGAACCAGTTTGTAGAAATGGATATTGATTTCGATGATGATGGTGATGATGAGGCAGATAATGAGGTAGATGATAGTGAAGATGATGATAGTGGAGAAGAGGCTAAAGATGATGACAATGAGACTAACATTGAGTTGATTGACTCTGAGTTTGAGCAATCAAATGAAGAATGGTTGAAGACAGTCTTGGAAGAGTATGATAACTTGTTTGATAAACATGTAGTTGATGAAGAAAATGAAGAATACAATGAAGAACCTGGTGAGATTGACAGTGAAGACTGCAATAACGACGATGTTGTAAGTCTTGATGAAGAATCTGATGAGGATGAAGGTGCGAAAAACCATAGTCACAGAAGAAAAGCTCCTAGGTTTAAGTAGTTTATAAGGGAATCTGATTTGCTGAAGCCAACATTTCATTTGGGAATGGAATTTACCAACATGAAGCAGTGTAGGGATGCTTCTCATGTGGGGAAAGGTCCAACTACAAGGATTAAGACATATGTTCCAAGGCATATATGTGGAAGGAGGCAAAGAACCAAGTATGTCACTTCATCATGGCTATCTAAGAGGTTTGATGAGAAGTTAAAAGATAATCCGAATATAAAAGTGACAGATTTCATGAAGTTAATAAGGAAACATTATGCCATAAATGTAATTGAGGCTCAAGTTTATAAAGCCAAGAGTTTTGCAAAAATCAAAATTCAAGGTAGTAAGCAAAAGCAATATGGTAAGTTGTAGGATTATTGTGATGAGTTAAAGAGCAATAACCCTGGAAGTATTGTCATTGTGAAAACTGAATTGCAGGGTGAGAGTCCTATTTTTAAGAAGATTTATATATGTTTTGTAGCACTTAAAAAAGGATTTGTGGAAGGATGTAGACCAGTGATGGGTTTTGATGGGTGCCATGTTAAGGGTTCTCATCCAGGACAGATTCTAAGTGCAGTTGGGGTTGAGGGAAATAATGGGATGTATCCTATTGCTTTTGCAGTTGTTGAAGTTGAAAACATAGAGACTTGGGGTTGGTTCTTTGACATATTCTTTCAAGATGTAGGTATTTAAAATGGCAATAGGTGGGTTTTCATTACCGATAAGCAAAAGGGTTTAGGGAATGCACTTCATGCTTTAATGCCCAATGCTAAGCATAGACATTGTGTGAGGCACTTGCAGAATAATTTCAAGCTTGCATGGCATACGGTGCAGCTTTGAAGCAGAGGTTGTGGGCAGCAGCTAGGGCAACAACAATACCTGTATTTGAATCTAAAATGGAGCAGATGTTGGGTCAATTTGGGGCAGCTTATAAGTGGCTTGAGGAGAGACCAGCTGCTCATTGGAGTAGATCACACTTTAGTACAGTTCTAAAGTGTGATATACTTCTAAACAACTTGTGTGAGTGTTTTAATGCTGCAATTCTAGAAGCAAGGGATAAGCCCATTGTTACTCATTTGGAGAAAATTAGAACCTACTTGATGCTTAGAATGGCTAGACTTAGAGTGGCTAGACTTAGAGAGACAGTGTGGCCCTATGAGGTTGGTCCAAGAATATTTGCTATTGTTGAGAAGAATTCAATTGAAAGTGGCCACTGCATAGCTTCGTATGCATGTGGGGTGCAGTATCAAGTTAATAGCATGTTGGGAGCTATGGATTTAGAAAGGCATACATGTACCTGCAGAAAATGAGACTTAAGTGGAATTGCTTGTCCACATGCCTTGGCTGCAGTAGCAAAGAAAGCCCTCAGGATTTTGTGCTTGCACTTTACAAAAGGTTGGCATATGATAGGGCTTATGAGGGCTATATATCTCCAATGCCTAATCCAGCATATTGGAGAAAAACAGGGCATGTACCTATCAAACCACCTCTTTATCGCATCCAATCAGGAAGGCCCAAACTTAGCAGAAATAGAGAACCTGATGAAATACCAAAAGGGGCAACAAAACTTAAAAGGTATGGCATTGTAATGACATGCCACAACAGTGGACAAGAAGGTCACAATTTTGCTGGTTGTCCCCAATCACAGGTTATAATTGTTCTTAATTTATTTGTTTACACATTTTGTTTGTTGAAAATGGCTATGTTAACATGTGATTTGATTGTTTTTGCTATGTTAGCATGTGATTTGTTGTTCTTGACAATGAAGGGGCAACCTAGAGGTGCTAGAGCAAGAGGCAGTAGAAGGGGAAGAGGAGCTGTGAGGGGAAGAGGTGCAAGGGGAAGAGGAGCTGCAACGGGTAATGGAGGTGTTGATACTGCAAGTGTCAATGCAAGTAGAACAACAATTGCAAGTGGAACAACAACTGTCAGATGTGTTATGAGAGGCAGAGATGTTGTGAGTGAACAACAACAAACTCAGGCTAGACCAAAGTTTAATGTAAGTACTTGGATTATTGTGGTGTGCTTTGAATTAATCATTGCATTATTGAAGGCTTAAGGGATTTATGCTTGCAACAGGTGAAAAGATGAGCTAAGGAAGACCAATCTATTTGCTGGTTCACAACCTAGCCAAAGTTCACAAAGCCCTTCACAACTTGCCCCAAGTTCACAAGCTCCTGCACAACCTACCCAAAGTTCACAAGCTTATCAAGGTTCAAGTTCTCAACCTCAACCAATGGTAACTTCTCCAAAAAGGCCTAGGTTAAAATCTCTAGCAAAACAAATAAGGCCATGGAGAGTTTAGTCAGCAATTTGAAGTGAATGGTTGAAGAGTTGTTATGTTTATTTTGTTGTTCTAGATCATTTTGGTTTGCAATCTATTTGCTAGTATATTTTTGAATTGATTTTGATATGAAGTCAATGGATGAAGATGTATTTTTGAAACTGAATTTGGACAAGCGTTGATGTAATCACATGTGAATTCAAATGTTGTGTATTTTGGCATACTTTGAAGTGCAGTTCATTTGGTGTGATAGTTACTATTTCAATGGTCAAAATGACAATTTGCATTTTCATTCACCAAAACAATTCTTACATTGATTACAATGGTCACAACACTCAAAATTGTCAATTACACACCATTTCTTACCTTACAAAAAACCAATCACCCATCTCTTTCTCACCATTACAAATTCCCAATTACCCATCTTTGCCTACCAATTTCAAAACCCTAACACCCATCCATTTCTAACCATTACAAAATGCCAAGCACCCATTCCTTTCTAACCCTTATAAAAAAAAAAAGTACAAAATGCCAAGCATCCATCCCTTTATAACCCTAAACCAAAATGCCAACTACCCATTGGTGCCTTTATCTTCATTCAAAACCATGGGTTTTTCAGCTTCGAGTTCCCTTTCTTTTTTTCTGCTTCCAACCTGTTAATTCTCCTCAGCAGTCCTGTAATTATTTTCTTAGATCTATTGCACATAACAGGGTCTCCTCACTCCCACATTTGACAACGTTTTTGCAAACACAGAGCTTTAAAAGGTGGAAACTCAAAGCTGCAAATTTGAAACCCAAACTTCAAAATTCAACTCACCTTTGCACAAACATAAAATCTTCGTCCTGGATGTGAAGAGGTCAATGAAGTCTGAATTTTTGCAACCTTCTCACAGTAGCAGACCCGTGATGGCAACATCAATGAATTGCCATCTTCCAACTCCGAACTCCCTTTGTGTGACCCATCAATGCTGCCAGATAAGTTCATCCTCATATATATATATATATATATATATATCTCTCTTAGCAACCTTCGATTTCGTTCCATTCCAACCTTCGATTTCGTCCTTTTTCCCTCCCTCAATTGGGTACCTTTCTAACCCTACGAATGTGAAAGAGATGTGCGAAGTGTGTGAGAGAGGTTGCTAATTCAATCTGCGCTGAATAACCAAAA